GTAACGTCACGGAACATGCACATTTTTTCACATTAGTTGTATTCTTCATCATGGCAGGAGGTATTGTGAGGGATGGGCTAAGGGGTGCACACACACACACACACACACACACACACACACACACACACACACACACACACACACACACACACACACACACTTTCTCTCTCTTACAATTCTCTCTTTCTGTCTATCACTTACAAACTCTCTCACACACACACAAATATTTACACACCCACAAACACCGTGAAAATAATCAGTGGTGGTCTCCTTGACACAAGCGGTGCGGGGCCGTCAAGTGGAGGCCGTCCCCCACCGCCTCAACACCTACCTTGTTGCAAGCCGCTCACCACCACACCACACAAGCACACCGCCAGCACGAGCGATCAACAGCGCCTGGCATGTTTCCACCCTTCAACTCGATAGGATAATTTTATGAAAGCTACGCCAGACGACCGTTTGCCTCCAGTGGTGATCCTTCGCGGTATGAGCAGGAGGGGAGGGGGAGGGGGCATCACCACGTCCCTTGTGCATGTGTAAGTCTATGTATGTATGTATGTATGTATGTATGCTTTTTTATTCCAAATTAGGTCCCCCTGTGCGTCACAATGGAAAAAGATGATCACACACGCAGGCGAGGGGCGTCATTGGTACCAGGAAGGCCCCGATGTTAGTCCCTTACTGCGTCACAGAACAACGTCAAGTCGCAGCACAACTTCCGCCGTCGCTGCCTCTGATACCCCCTCCGTCAACACACCTGCCCGCCAGTGCCCCGCCTCCGCCACCCACACACACACCTGCCTCCCCAATTACATGAACAAACACACGTACACAACACCCGCGCCACAGTACGCCTCCACACGAACCACATTAAAACATACACCCATATACAGAACCACATTATGGACATACACCCACATACAGATCCACATTATGGACATACACCCATATACAGAGATCCACATTATGGACATACACCCACATACAGATCCACATTATGGACATACACCCATATACAGAACCATATTATGGACATACACCCACATACAGAACCACATTTTGGACATACACCCATATACAATAAAAAAGGCTGATTATCTGGGATCCCTTGGAAACCGGGATCCCATTTCTAAATCCCGGTTTTGGAAATCCAGAAAATGTCCATCTAAAAACTGGAATCCCAAACATTCTCTTTGCACGCTGTTAGTCGCCGCAGTAATGACACTATGAGACAATGAGTGACAGACATGGAATAAACACTTGTACGTCTGGCTTCCTGTAGCACCAGTAAAACTACAGGGTATGTCTTCAGTTTTTCCTAATAGAAATACGGCTTTTGACGCTACAGAACACCGAAGTAAGAACCTGGATAATCTTCACCAAGCTCACCTAAGTTGCTATCTCACCAACACAGAGCTAGAGGTGACCTTTTCAAGAGCACTACGACTCTCAAAAGGCTCAGTCAGTTCAAAAATCTGAATTTATTGTACAATTTCTAAGTTACCTTTAAGTTGTTGGGTATATAAAGTGTTCAAGGTTATTTTCTTCAGGTGCTGACGTTTTTAGCCACCCAGGTGAGGAGGAGGAGTGAGAAATAGGTCAGCTGCCCTTCCTTCCTCTGACAATATTTCCCATGTGTAAAACAAGACGCAGTAACACTCAAGGAAAATGAGGAACTGACCTTAACTGCTGTACTGATTTTTGTTATTCATGACTCGCAAAATGTGTAAATGAGCAACAGCTTTTTATGTGTGGACGACAACAAGCATGAGGGTGACGAGACACTGTGGACATCCTGTGGTATGAAACAACTCACTTTGGGCAGCATCGTCGGGATACCGTTTGGATCTTTAAAAAAACATATGTAGTTCTAAAAATATACACCAGAGGACACCACCACCCCCAAAAAGTGCAACTGTCTTGGAAAGTTTGGTTGACAGGTTGACTTTATGAAACAGCAGAATTAAGTCTCAGCCCTTCTCAGATAACTGACGACACAACAACACGACAGGTTCCATCTATTAAACGAATCCACAGAAATGTTTTTGTGATAAAAGCCGACACCAAACAGCAGATACAGTAAATGTAAACAGAGAGAACAAGATGATAAGGTATCGCTCTCTGACAGACTCACCTCATTAAAACTACCACCAATACCTTCATTAAAAGTAGTCATTATAATTCCTATCATTTATTGTGCCGCCACCACCACCAACCTCGACAACATACCCGGTACAGAACAACCACCTATCCCCCGCCCTCACCTCTCACATACCAAACATTTTCACCACCATACTACCACATCAACCACCACCATACCACCACAAACAGCAGCATCCGTGGTGGCAGCTCCTCGCTTAATTCTGGCTCACACGCAAAGCTATTTCTTACTTCTATTTCTGAGTACTAGACACCTCTCTGCCCTAACGTTACTGAGAGGGCCGCTATAAATAAACAATCACCTCCCCCTCCTCACCACCTCCCCCTCCTCACCACCTCCCCCTCCTCACTCCCACCTCCCCTCCTCACTCCCACCTCCACCCCAATTTCTCCTGGCGCATTACGAAGACAGTCACCAGAAGATCCCCAGAATGCGGCCACATCAAGCCCCACTTAGTAATACCCCACACCTAGCACCTAGCAGTGCAGTGCCCCACACCCACCTAGCAGTGCCCCACACCCACCTAGCAGTGCCCCACACCCACCTAGCAGTGCCCCACACCCACCTAGCAGTGCCCCACACCCACCTAGCAGTGCCCCACACAACATCCGAAGTATTAATATTTCTTGTAATACCTACTATATTTACAGTACCTGCTTTTATTGTACCATCAAAACCGTTTTATCGGAAATTATCATGTAAATAAATAAGTAATTACCATTGCAATAAACATAATTGCCAACTAGACATACTCCTTTTCACATATACGTTGAGACATTCTTATATATCTATTTGACAAATTTCATAACCGAATGACAGAACACATATCGAATGACAATCTAAAATAACTGTTCGTTCATGCTAACGGAAATGATTGACATAAGTCATGAAGTTGACAGCCGTGAACAATGAACCAACAGTCTACATATAGTTTGAGAATGTAACAATAGGAAAATGACATACCACCAACAGTTATTTTAGATTGTCATTCGATATGTGTTCTGTCATTCGGTTATGAAATTTGTCAAATAGGTATATAACAATGTCTCAACGTATATGTGAAAAGGAGTAATCCTGACAGCTCTGTCCTCTTGTTCAACCTTATTACTGTACAGCCCATGTTGTACTGCTCCCCCATTATACTTATGTTTTTCAATTCCACTGTAACTTATGCATATAAAAAAAATAATAATAATGAATAAATAAAATTAATAAATATTGAAGTGATAACCGTGGTAACATTATGAGATGTTCTTATTACCACCATGCTATTGTACTATTCCAGATGATACTAAATGTTACATAATACTTCCTTGAGATAAATGTATGGTATATATCAGGTGCCTAAAAGAGAGCTCAGGTTCTCAACTGGTTCAGCCATGTTAATATTGTTATTATTATCCATTCCGTATCTGTATTTTTCTGGCTAAATAAACTGTTTCAATTCAATTCAACTACCAAACAGTCCACTTAATATCAGTACGATTTTCCAGACTGTCTCAATAGTTCCTAACTACAACAGACAAGTTCTTAGTAGGACGAAGGAGAAGACGGTGATGGGAGGACAGGAGTAGGAGGACGGTGGGGGTGAGTGGGAGGACGGTGGGGGGGGAGTAGGAGGACGCGATCAGAAGTAAATATTTGGTGGAGAAACATGGGAGGTGTTTACCGTGAGTCAGCAACAAGGATCAACAGCCAGTGACCAACTCTCTGCACTGGAGGAGGAGGAGGAGGAGGGGATGTCGATAAGAGGAAAGGAAGTAGTAGCAGATAAGGAAGGAAGGAAGGAGGGAGAGATACAGCCATACCGCCACTGTTTACACCATCACAACCACGCTACCACAACCATCACCACCACTACTACCACAACCAACCTAACCAAACACTATTTTGTTGTCACCCCTCCACCTCCATCCGCGGGGGAGGGGTCACTGGCTTTTGTACACATTCAACATTTACAAGAGGTTTCACATGGTGGGGGTTATAATTAAACATTCACTAAAATATTTATCTATTCCACACACACACACACACACACACACACACACACACACACAGTAGCGAATGTTTAGACCAGACCATATGTTAGTTAAGGCGGTAAAAGTTCTTCATCTGGTAGAGAAAATAAAACTCTGCGGTACTGAACACTCATAAGGAATCAAATGTTTATGAGTGCGATGCGCTAAACATTTACGCGAAGGTGCAGAACATTCATACAAAAGCAACAAAACATTGACAGAAGCAATAAACAATCAGTAGGAAGTAAAGAGAAACGTTCAGCAGGAAGCCCACCACCAGACACAAGGCCCAGACGTCACCTCTCTCTCGTTTCGATGTTTATTCTTGTACTAACACTGGCCAGCCACCGCTAAACATCCTGGTTTGTGTTGACTCTCTGTCTCCTGTTAGGTATAGACCAAGTGGTGTGGACACCTCCCGGGTGTTATGAACGTCTTTCAAGTGTTACGGACGCCACCAAGGTGCTACGGACAACACTCACTGTGCTCCCTCCCACTCAGTGTACAACTGCAGTGTCCCGGGGCGTCAGACATGTAGGCGGGGCGCGAGTAAACATGTGTATTATCAGAGGAAATGAGAAATAGCGACTCGTTATCAGCACACAACCACCTGCCCACCAATTCACAGATATGACTATTGGCTCCTCTGACGACACCAAGCTAGTCAGCACTTCATTCACTGAGTCAGTCTTAACTTCACCTTCGGACTTCCTGTTTCACCGTAAGACCTTCAACATCATTGACGAATTCCCTACTTTACCAATTTCCATTTCATCTATCGACTTCCTGTTTCATCATTAAACCTACAGTACTTCACCTACCGTGTACCGGCTGTCACCGCTGAACTCATGCCTCACGCTCACCTGTGGAAAGATAACACAAGTTAGCACATCAACATGATACTTTCGTCATAAACATGTCAATCCTGCGGCAACAATCTGCAGAATCCTCAACTATGGGAAACTAAAAATATGCTAATTAAAAAAAATAAATGGTCTATAATATACTGCACACAGGTGTACAGAAGGTTGGGGTAAAATGAAGATTATTAGAGAGAGTAAGGCACCTTTGTGATGTCTCGCGTGGGGTTAGCGAGGAGGGCGCCCACCATAGCGGTGTAGAGGTGGCTGCTCACGTCCCCAGGAGAGTAGTCGAGGCTGGTTCTCTTGCGGGAGGCGTTCGGGGAAAGGGTGAGGGGACACATGGTCCTTTCCCTGCCGGTGGGGGACAGGGTGCCCACACTCACCCTGCGAGGGGTGTCGCCGCCCGCCAGCCCGACACTAAGCCTTCGACCCATCTCTGCCCCTCGCTCACGGATCTTGTCCAGCATAGACATGGTGGCTGGGTCCTGCTGCTGCGTCGCCAGCACACGCTGTCTCTCTCTTGTGACAAACCGCTCACCACCACACTACAACTACAACTACTAAGGCTATGTTGCTCACAAACACTGTCACATCACTCTTTTACGGTGTTCATCTGTACAAATAATAACGCATTATCTTATGCCACCGACACTTTAACATTACTACACCTCAGCTGCTTGTCAGACATATGGTGAAGGCCGCGAGCCACCAAGATACCCTTAACGGCACCGGTCACTCACACCAACACTGTACAGTTTATAGTGACCACACCTGCAACACCTTCACACATGTACCCCAAACACTACAGCACGAAACATTGCAATTTATTTATCAAACACATTAACCATTCCCTCACACCTCTGCCTGCACACACACGCTCGTATCTGGCCTGTCCCGTCTAGGGTGTAGTGTACTCAGCCCACGTGACGCTGGTCATGGCCGAGGTGCAGATATCATGAGCCCTGGTACCTGTCAACACCTGCCACCCGTCATATCTGACAACCCAGTCTCACACACACACACACAGTACAGTGCAAAGATTGACGATCAACTCACAATTGATATACAAAAGTGGCAATTTTAACTCGAAGGAAAAGCACAAAAACACAGTAATACTGAGTATGGCTGGACCTGACCTCACGGCTTCACCTGACCTAACCTGAAGGATGGAGCACACCTGCATTGCCCCAAGCTACTGTCCTGGCCATGTGGCCACACCCGCCCAACCCGCTCCAGTCCAAACGAGCACGAACTGATTGCTACAAGAACAGCACAGTCCCAACCATTGTAAAAATTAATAACACCTAATTATTATATATCATATTTGTATCACTTATGTTACTTGTACATCATTTGTAAATCAAGAGACCCATTCCCCAATTATATAATTGTATATTTTCAGCCTTCCGGCTGCCATGCTTTTTCAATAAACCGTTAATTATTATTATTATTATTATTATTATTATTATTACACACACTTATTTCACCGCACATACTTTGTTATCCACCATAAACAACCCCAAAGACCCCTTGCGGTAAAACAAGGCAGTTTATTGTTGACGTAAAGAGCTGATAACGTATCAACATATTGGATCCCCGCGTGACCATGTGACTACACACACTGTCAACAAACAATGGCCCACCACCTGCTACCAGCGTGGCTCACATCAATCAATACTTTTAATTGTGTGCAGTAAAAATACTTCTTGTGTAAACATTATAGCAAAACATTTACGGAGTCGAACACGTGACTGGTGATGCCCAGTACAGGTGTGTGATGTTCCCGGTACAGGTGTATACAATTCCCTAGTATAAGTGTGGTAGTCCCGGTATGGGTGTATGCTACCTACAGTAGAGGTGTGTGGTGCACCCGCCCCCAGTACAAGTGTTGCAGTTTCCAGCATAAGTACACAGGAGCTTTGGTAAAACTGCAGCACCACCAGTACAGAAAAATAATATTCCTGGTACATCTGTAATGGTCCCGGTACATAGCCATGGTCTTAACGCAGGTGTACGCTGTTCCCGCCGTACACATAGGAGCTCGGTATAAGTTTGCACAGTTACAAAAGTTTGAACAACGTGGGTGCAAGTGCAGTGTCCGTGGCAAAAGGTGTCAGCCCCAGTACAAGTGCTCTGGCCCCGGTATAGAACCATACTGCAGTTAGTACAAATGGTTCTCCAGGTATAGGTGTTTCATCCATCCCCAGTACAGGTGTTCGAGTCCCAGTTCAAAACTTCCAGCCGCTGTGAAAACGTCAGAGTCTCCCGATACTAAACTTAGCATCTTCTGGTACAAACATTCAAACCCCGGCACAATAATACCATTCCCGGTACCAAAGCTTATTTCTGCCTGTAGAAATATAGTCGGTCTGCCGTTTGAGGCGGTCGAGAACGGCCGGTAGAGGGGGTCGAGGACGGCCGGTAGAGACAGTCGAGAACGGCCGGTAGAGGCGGTCGAGGACGGCCGGTAGAGGCGGTCGAGGACTACCGGTCGAGGTCTGCCGGTAGAGGCGGTCGAGGTCTGCCGGTGGAGGTGGTCGAGGACTGCCGGTAGAAGCGGTCGAGGTCTGCCGGTAGAGGCGGTCGAGTTCTGCTCGTAGAGGCGGTGGAGGTCTGCCGGTAGAGGCGGTGGAGGTCTGCCAGTAGAGGCGGTGGAGGACTGCCGGTAAAGGCGGTGGAGGTCTGCCAGTAGAGGCGGTCGAAGTCTGCCAGTAGAGGCGGTCGAGGTCTGCCGGTAGAGGCGGAGACAGCACGGGAAGGATCACCGGCATAATTCCATGGTCGACCTGTCGCCTTTAACCGCCTAGAGGAGCAGAAGGTCGAGGCACAACCAATCAATACCGCTTAGTGCGTCTGTCCCTGCCCATGGTGCTACCACAACTACCACACACACACCACTACCACAACTACTACACACACACCGCTACCACAACTACTACACGCATCACTACCACAACTACCAGACACAACACTACCACAATTACCAGACACACCACTACCACACGCAGCACTACCACAACTACCACACACGCACAACTACCACAACGCCAGACACAACACACACAATTACCAGACACACCATTACCACACGCATCACTACCACAACTACCACACACACACACCACTACCACAACTACCAGACACAACACTACCACAATACCAGACACCCTATCACACACGCATCACTACCACAAATACCACACACGCAGCACTACCACAACTACCACACACGCACAACTACCACACACGCACCACTACCACAACTACCACAGCTGTCACACCCACCACCACACCACACGCGCATCACCACCACCTCTTGCCACAAGTTACATTCGCACCACCGTACTACTGCTGCATGATGGTGTTGTACACAGGCAACAGGTGGTAGTGGTGTACAACTAACGATGTACAACAAGTGCCTGTGTAGTAACTGGTGGTGGTATACAGTAGGTGTGTAGTAACTGGTGGTGGTATACAGTAGGTGTGTAGTAACTGGTCGTGGTATACAGCAGGTGTGTAGTAACTGGTGGTGGTATACAGCAGGTGTGTAGTAACTGGTGGTGGCATACAGCAGGTGTGTAGTAACTGGTGGTGGTATTCAGCAGGTGTGTAGTAACTGGTGGTGGTGTACAGTAGGTCACTAAATCTTCATCAAATTAATTACATCACGGGGGGCCACAACGAAGTGCTCCTTCACGTGGCGATGGGGAGGGGCGAGGCTGGGGTGTCAGGTGGCAGGAGGACAGCCACGTGCACCGCCAAGCCTCTGGTGTGGCCTGGGGGAGGTGTGGTAGAGTCTATAGGAGGCGTGGTAGTGGTGGAGGCTGGGGAAGGTGTGGTAGTGGTGGAGACTGAGGGAGGCGTGGTAGTGGGGAAGGCGTGGTAGTGGTGGAGGCTGGGGGAGGCTAGGGAAGGCGTGGTGGAGGGCGGGGTCGTGCTATATCTCAACTGGTGTACACTCGCCTTCCCTGGAGTGTTACTTGACCGCTGCCTCTTGACGTGGAGAGACCGTGCTATTATAGCCTTCGCGAGGCTGTACCTTTTGGCTTGACCTAAACCAACACTTACCCTTTACTCCACTCCTCCAGCTACAGATTAACAGCCACAACTAATGTGTGAAATCAGTCAGTCTGTCACGTCGCGTCATGACACTGTATAAGGTTCAGGAAGCTCATCAGCTGACATAGTAAACTCTTTATTGTTTAAAAAAATTTTCTTGGGGTGAGTGACTGAGGTAAGTATCCTTCCCTGAACTACGTATCATTATTACACTGTTAATAGCTCCCTCAAGGGGCAGACAATAATATATAACAATATCTTTCATTGGTGGATATAAAGCAGGTTAAGAGTGAGAGGGTGTGTTCGGTAGGTGGAGGGTGTGTTCGGTAGGTGGAGGGTGTGTTCGGTAGGTGGAGTCTATGAAAGCATTACGAGGAATTACTGTTATGTATCATTACTATTTGGTGACAATCCCAAGATTAATATTGTTGTGGGTGACATATAATACACCCGCTGTGACCCCTGGTGGGAGACTTCTCTACCTCCACCCACTGACCTACTGATCTAACAGGGAACACAGTCTTGTCCTTCCACCATCACGACCCTTGTTAAAGCTATACACACGCCCCTCCCGCCACCTGTTGAACACAAGGGCTGGGACATATGGTGGAAGGCGGGGCAAGTGAGCGTAGTGGTGGTTGCACGGCAGGTAAGGTGGTGTCAGGTAGCTAAGATGAGGTGGGTGTAGGTAACAAGTTGTGTGTAGGCGAGGTGGCCAGTGAGAGCTCTGGCACTTTCCTCAAACCAGCATCTCTTTCTACTATGATTTGTGTGGGTGTAATATGTATGTATGTATGTATGTATGTATGTATGTATGTATGTATGTATGTATGTGTGTATGTATGTATGTATGTATGTGTGTGTGTGTGTGTGTGTACAGTAACAACCATACACAAAGAATTATATGGTGAAAGTAGGGCGAGTGTAGAGGAGGTGTGGTG